AACACAGTGAGCTCTCCCATTCCTTTTGCCATGTGATGATGCAGAGAAGACTCCATCTATGAACCAGAAAGAGAGCCTTCACCAGACACTGAACCCACTGGGGCCTTAATCTTGATTTTCCATCCTCCTGTCTATAAGAAATAAATGTCACTGGTTTATAAGCCATTCAGGCCATGGTTTTCTGTTACAGCAGCCAGAGCTAAGGAACTGTGCACCTGTCAGAACAGCCTTTCCCAATCTGCTTCCTTCTCTGTCTCACTGGTGATTCTGCCAAGCATCCCAAGACATCCCAATATGCAGGTATCCATCTAAGTCTGCATCTAGGACAAAGGATCACTTGTCATAGATCCAAATAAAGGCTTTGCAGATTTTTTCAATAAACCTTAGATATAAGGTCTGTGATGGTTAGCTGGGAATTCAATGGCATCTAAACAGAAGGTGGCTTGAAGCTCTATCCTGGCTTCACCTTCTTTTTCAGCTCTTAGGAATGATGCCATAATTCTGGAAGGTGGGATCCTGCCTGGCTTTGAGTAGTACATTAACTTCATGCTAACAAGGTCAGGGCCATTTTCTGTACAGCCAGTGAGCTTTCATCTGTTCAGGGGCCACACATTATACTTCTAATTCTATTTGGACCCCTTGTAAATGTGCACAATGACTCACACAGAGGCTGAGAGACTGTGCCAACCTAGAGGAACAAAACCAAGTAACCAAGTATACAAGTAGAGAGGGTCTCAGAGACCATAAAATGTTGATGCTGCATCCATAGTTTCTCTCCCAAGGAGGTAGAAATGCTGCTCTGACAGTGTGGTACTCTCTGATTGGTGCCACCTTCCACCCATCATAGAAGCAGAGAGCCCTAGTTACAGGCTCAGGTACACGAGCTAATTGTCACTCACTCCTGCTGCTGATTTGTTCACTAGCTACAGGAGATAATTCTGTCTCTGGACTGAAACCATGATGGTGAACTCCAACAAATTTACTGAAAAGATTCTTAGTGTGAGCTGAAACAGGTCTTGCTTTTACTACTCAGCAGCTCATCACAAGGAACATTTCCTTTCATTTACCCCCTGCTAAAATTTAAATAGCTATGGCAAATTACATAAAACATGATTTGTGGAAACGCAGTTTATCAACTTGGGCGATGAACTCTAGCTGAATGTTATTCTCATGACAAAGTAGAACTGCAGAGGTACTATATCCACAAAGCCATAAAAGTGTGGGGCCACCAAAATTGGAAACTCTTGATTGTACTTGGGGACATCCAAGCACCCAGCTTCCTGTTACTCAATGTCTCTGGGGCTGGATGCCTTGGATTTAAGCAAATGCTTTTCTTTCCCTCTTTTCTGGCGATCAGCAATGATGTGCTGTGGTGTGATATATATTTTATTTTAAATGTGTTTAGCTCCAAACCCTTACAATGATTTAACAAGAATTCTGGTGTTGTTGCATGTGAAATTGGTTTACAGAATTTTTCTGATGGTTAGTAGTTACGTTTGAAACATACATAAAGTAAGAAGCTATGCCCTAGTCCCCAGCTTTCCACATATCTGTGTGACATTCTGAGACTTGCTATATTGGGTTCTACATGTACATTACATGTGATTCATAAACACATAAATTGTATGTGTATAATCCATATATATGTAGAATCCACTTGTAAAGGAAATATATGTATACGTTGTATATGGTTAGTGGAGAGTATTGATTTATACAGGTCTCCTAAAATTTATTTATATCATACTCATTAACTTTTAGGTTTTTAAATAGACTATTTTAAATATTTTAATGTATAAAAAGGTTTTAAACAAACAAAGCTCACTCCCCCATCAGTTTCTCAGACTTCTAACATAATTACCTTAAAGAGCTCTACTTATTTTTGAAACTAGCATTTTTGTCCTCCAATAATTTTCTTTTGGCATTCTGTACATCAATCAAGCCATGTGTACATGACGTGAGTATTACTGATGTTCACAATCACATAACACATGCAAACACAAGTGTAGGAAGACAACTTGTTTATGTGAATCTCTGTTTTGTTTTTCTACTGGGGACCATCAGCAGCAACCTGCTCTGCATTCCTGTCTCTGGGTTCCGGCCTGCTCTCCTCTCCTGCACACCAGAATCCCAGATGATACCTGGGCTCCCTCTCGTCCTCCACCTCAGTTGCTTTAACATAGCCTCTTCCCTAAAAGACTAAATTATTCTGCCTACTTTCCTAGGAAATGTGGCCAACCAGAATGCTGGAGAAGCTGTTCCCAGGTGGGAAAAACTGAATGGAGCAGAAGGTGAGGAGAATAGACAAAACCCAGGCTCCCGACCTTGCAAGAGCCCGGGGTGGTGGAGGATTCCCAGATGGTGCAGTGGAAACGAACGCCTATGATCCTGTGTTCCCTGGCGGTCACTTCACTACTACTGTATATGCCAGAGGAGGTGGCAGTACAGGGTCTTGTAGGACTTTTCTGTCAGTGTGTGCTGCGGAGGGGAGGTAGACAGGAGAGGGTGTCCTGTGGCTATTTCTATAAGAGGAGCAGAGACCATAGATATCTCAGGGTAACAGGTGAGAGTCGATGTCTGCGCTCCACGTTATCAGAGCAGTCTCAAGATCTTGGTGAGATGGGCCAGGAGGTTCGTAAGGGGAGATGTGGGTAGTTGTCCTCTCACTGCTGAGAACAGGGGAAGAAAGGCACTGCCACCTTGTTAGGATGTGGTCTTTGCAATCCATTCAAGTGGATTTTAACATGGGACAATGTACCATTTTTTGCATAATAGTTTGTCTAGAGTTTGATGTCACATGTGTATCACTGAAGGTCTCTGGGAAGATCCAACAGCCACCTCTGAGGAAGTCAATAGGCGAAGGGGGAGGATGAGGAGAGGGGTGACCGCTAGCCATCTAACACCCTTGCACTGGGTTACATCTTTTGCTATGAGCACTATTGTTTATGGAAAGAAAACAATATTTTATATAGAAAAATCTCCAAATTAAATAGGGAAAAGCATAATGGATAGTTACTTTTTGATACCATGTGTCATGACCACTGTAAGTTTACACTCATTGGTTTTTAGAACAGACTTAGGAAGCGAATGCTGTCACTATAATTAATATAATTTCCAACCTCCTTGTTAATAAAATGAAAGCTGAACCGGTTTAAACAACTTGATAAGTTAAGTAGCTAAGAAATGATAGAGCTGGTACCAAGAGTTGGCTGATGCCAGATCCAGTGATTTTAACACTATATGTTGTCTCGGTGTCTTTAAATTCCCAAGTTACGTTAGTTCTCTTGTTTTGATTGCCCTTTTTACTTTTGGAATACTGTTTTGTTAAAAGATAATGCATGGCATTGAACTGGCAGTCTCTCAAGGATTGGCAGTCATCCACGTTTTTATGACATCTCAAGTTGTAGTTATTAATAAACTACTGACATTGTCAAGATTACTAAAGCCAAATGTAATTGTAATTAATGTAGTGTGGTCACCGAGCTGAACACACGAAAGAGTATTTCCATTGTAATTGAGAGAACTTATGACCCTTAAGAGTGAGGATAGACAATTGGGAAGTGATTCTAGTTTCTACTCTCAGAATGATCAAGGTTATGTGTGTCTTCTTACAGGCAGAGCAAATGCACTGCAATTTGTCCTGTTGGGAAGTGTTTGGTATTTTACTGATGCTTCTAGACTCCACCAAAGGCAGTACCAAGAGTAGATCATGTGGAAAACATGATACCTCATCACACTTTCTTGAATAACTGTATAGTCATGTGCAAGTTCAATTAAAGGTGCGTAAAAAATCCAAAGTCAGGAAGCACTCAGCAATTACCTCTGCATTGTAGTCCTAACTTTGAGTGGGACGTGAAGGCAATTATTTCATTGTACCATTTTTTATTAAGAAGAGACATTAAGTCACACTCTACCCCATTCTTCTGGCTTGGGGGAATCTATCTCCCACTTTACAGATAAGGACACTTGTGCTGGGTCTCTCCTCACTACAGGACTTTTCCCTGTTGGGATTACTTCCACTCACTTGGAGAGAGGGTAACAGCCATGATGTGTTTGTGCACATGAGGTTGTGGCAACATCACCCCATACTTACTGTTTGGGGGTACTGGGTGCTTTTTTATTATCTGTCTTGTCTCATTGACTTCATATGCAATGACTCCTTGTTACATTTTTTTCCATCTCCTGAAACTGTTCACATACTATATATTTGGACAATAAGAGTGCACTGTCTATGAAAATTCAGAAACTTAAATTGAATAAAATGAAAATTCAACTCCAGAAGTGAGTAGTGCTCATTTTCACCTATGACAACCACATACTTCAGCCATGTCACATATCTTAGGACAGTAATTAATGAAGTCTCTTGTAAAAATTATTTCAAAAGTGAATCCACAGAATGTACACATGCAGAAAGTCACAAATACTGAAATGCCTGTGCCAATAGGTTCAACATAGTCCACAGGGAATAAGAAAGTCATTTGTATTCAATGGTCAGGAACCATCTGCACGCCTGTCAGCCTTCTACAACTTTGAAAGTCATTCAACAACAGTGCAGGGCACAAATCCTTCATTTCAAATGGCTGGGTTGGCTCCAAAAGTTTACAGATGTAAGTCATTTCAGGTATATTACAGTGTTCTTTTTATTTTCTTTAATTTTAAATTTTCCATAATAAAAAATGTTAAAGAATACCAATCAATGACATTGTCAAGAGATCTGCAAGTATGCTCATGGTTCATACCTTGCATTTTATACCTGGTCTCATTTTTTATTTTGACATAATAATGGCAGACCTGGCAAGTCCAACTTTCAAAACTAAACACTGTCGTGACAAAGAGCAACTGTAAGCTAAGTTGGACTTCGAGGAAGTTATAAGTAACCAGTCCCTGTTTATAAACCCTGTTCTAGCACGGTGATGAGATCACTCATCTGCAACACACACTGAGTGGTCTCTGCCCTCACCGGAATCTTCTTTCTAAATGCCAAGTGTGGCTCTCAGGCTCACCTTGGTAAACAGCTTTGAAGCCAAGTGAGCCGATGCTGTCGTCAGACTGCAGGTGCAGCCACATCTGGTTGCTGAGGCTCACAATGAGGTCAGGAACACTGGATCCCGTGAGTCTGCACAGAAGAGAAAAGGCACAACCTTTACTGATGGCAACAGACACACTGGTGCGTACCTACCTACCTCACAGGAGGCTCTTGCTGCTTAAACAACCAAACTGTATGCACACCTGTGTGTAGCACACTCTCCTTTGGAGAATACAACTTGTAATTTATCTTAATATTTAAGATCACTGGCATTTGTAGTAATTACTCTCTCTGCAAATGTGCATCTTTCATTACAAAAATCAATTTAGTGGCGTCCATCCCACTTGCCTGGAACTGAGGGGTTTTCCCAGGTACAGGACTTACAGTGCCAAAGCTGGGACAAACCTGGAGACACTAGGACAGGTGGCCAGGCTATGTGCGGAGAGCTCTGCCCTGTTGCTTTCCAGTGAAATAACATCACACCATCGGAGGAAAGCATCTCCAAGGTGAGAAATGTGCCAGCTCACTCGCAAAGTGTTTGGATTGTCTACAGCACATTATCCTCTGCCTGAATCACGAAATCTGCCTTAGAATATGCTGGAGGTCATCATACACGGAGGGAATATCGAGAAGAACAGCCACACAGCTGAAATAGACTCGGCGGCGTTGACTGACGTTCCCGCCTGCATATTAATGTCCAGGTCAGACCAAATGGAACTTTCAGCGAGGCAATCACCGTGCATCAGCAGCACAGTCACATCGCCTCTGCCGTCAGCCGGCGAAGAGGAACACTGGATCCATTGACCGAGCTCCACATGCTCACAGAAAAGCACGTTGAAATAGAAAAAGTGCAAGAAAGCAAGCAATTCAACCAAAACAAATGTCCCTAATCCGACAGGAAGCTTTGCTTGCAGCAGAGTGGTTTCGGGAGTACGAGCACGTGATCTGCCCCCTCGATCATCCCACCCGTCTGTCAAGCTGACGTTGTCACTGCAGACGGCTCAGGAACCTCTTCCTCACAGCAGTCACTACACGCCCTGCAACTCGTGCACCGCTACACGCAGAATGAAAAGGCCGAGCGCTCCAGCGGGCCGGGCTCCGCACGAAATATGTATCTCCTTGTGAAGACGCTGGCAACAATTGTTCTTTTCTTTTTGATTGTTTTGTTTTGTTTGATCTGAAGAGAGATTTGCTTTCTTCTCTATGCGCCCATTCAATTGAAGTGCAACAGACCAAAAAAGTGCACAGATCATAAATGCTTAGCTCTGTGGATTTTCAGACTAAGGGCCAGCACCCAGGCATCTCCTTGTCCCTTCTCTTGCTTACTGTCCTTTCCTCCTGCTTTGCAAAGACCTAGATTATTTGCACCTGCTTTTGTACAGCTTTCTAAAAGTGTAATTATACTTGGTATATTTTGCTCACTATTAATGTTGGTGACATTTATTATTCATGTCTTTTTGGAGCTCATTGCTTTAATTTCTATATAGAATTCACGTTGTGCATATAAAAAAGTAGGGAATGATTAATAGTTCTATGTAGTCAAAATTTTTACTGACATAATTGTACGCCTACATGAAGTACTCAGAAATAACATGGAGATATACCATATTGTCTTTCTCAGGGTTCCCCGGGTGGCATTTGTGAAACTATAATGGCTCAACCAGGATGTTGACATGGCTGCAATCTACCTGCCTTGTTCAAGCTTCCTGTTTTGTGTGTGTGTCTGTGTCTCTGTACACTGGCATCACATACACGACTTGGGAACCCACACTACAGTAAATGCATAGCAGTTTTATCTACACAGAACTTCCCATGCTGCACTTCCAAAAGCACACTGACCTCCTTCTTCCTGTCCCTCCACTGACCCTCACCCTTGGCAGCTCTGCTCTTTCTCTCTCTGTTTCTCATTTGAAACATCACGGAAGTGAAACTGCAGAGTGGTTCGACCTTGTGATTGGCTTCACTCACTGGGCTTAATTCCCCGAGATGAGTCCACGGTTTGTTTATACCATGACCCTCCTCCCTTGCCTCACTGAGTAGGGTATCATGGTTTGGGTACCCATAGGTGGTTGAACGCTTCAGCTGATTAAGGACGTTTGGGTAGATGACACACCAAGCTGCTATGAACATTTATGTATGGGTTTTTCCAGAGCATAAATCTTCATTTCCGTGAAATAAATAACTAAAATGGAACTTTTGAGCCACAGACTCATGTGTCGAGATTTTAAAGAAACTGACAAATCGTTTTCTGGACTGGATGCACATCTTACATCTGCCTCAACAATATGGGAGCAACACAGAGCTCAGTGTCCTCAGGAAGCATTTGGGATGGACAGTGTTTTCTTTGGCTTTTCTCCCTCATGACACCTCCCTGTGGTTTCTGTTTGCTGTTGGATGAGCATTAATTTTGCTGAACATCTTGTCATGGGATTATTTGCAGTCTAGACATCATCTTCAGTGAAAGGTTGGCTCAAGTCTTTTAATCACTCTCTCGTTGAATTGTTTGATTTCTTCTCCTAGGATTGTGAAGGATCCACTGAGATACTTTAAAAACTGTTTCAAAGAAGCATCCAAGGAAGGGAGGGAGGGAGAGAGGAAGGGAGGGAGAGAGGAAGGGAGGGAGAGAGGAAGGGAGGGAGAGGAGGGAGGGCCCTATCTCTTGTCTTTTCACTTCCTCAAGGGACAAGTCCTTTGTCAGACATTTTGGTGGCAGATATTTTCCAGGATCTGTAGCTTGTCTCTTGATTCATTTTACATATTCTATTTTAGAAAATTTTTAATTTTAATAAATCCCAATTTATCAATTTTATTTTTGTTGATTTTGGTATCAAGGTTAAGAGCAATTTGCCCAACTTTAGATCTTACAAATTTGCTTCTGTGTCTTCTTTTCTAGAAGTCTTCAAATGATTACATTCTAGATTTAATCCCTTGTCTCCATGTGGTCTAATTTTTCCAGAAGTTGTAAGTCTAGAAGAGCTCATTATTTTGGGTATAGATGTCCCCTTGCTCCAGGACCACTGTTGGAAAGCTCTCTTCACTCTCCATCCTTTTAGATTGAATTTCATTACTATTTTGCAGTTTTTACAAGGTGCATATTTACATGTATACCAGACCATTTAACTTGCTCTATATCAATTTCAAATATTTTTGTGATTTTCAATTTCTGGATGTTTACTGTTATTATATAGAAATGTGATTTACTTTTTAATTGCATCTATAAATTTTATTAGATGCCAAATAATCAAATTTCATCCTTTCAAATTTTTCTTACTTCACTGATTAAGCTTTATCTTAATTACTTCCTCTTTTAATACCACAGACACATTATGCTCGTTTCTCTAATTTCATGAGCCAATAACTTAATTCATTGATTTACAAACTCTATTTCTTAACATATATGGTAAAGACTGTATGTTAAATAAAATATATAACTAGTGCCTCATTTTTATTCAACTCTAAATAGTTTCTAATTTTAAGTAATATTTATTGCTCAAGTGAAAAACATTTGGATGTTTTTCAGTTTTTAAAAATTATTTCTGGCCATTTCCACCTTGGTCAGAGAAAATTCTTTGTGTAATTTTAATATCATAATATTTATTGATTTATATACTTTGATACAGCCAATTTTGGTAAAGGTCCCCCATGTACTCAAAACAAATTGTAGTTTCCAGACACAGTTGCAAGGTTCTCCATGTTCAAGTGTGCAGACGTCTGCATCTCTGATTTCTTTGGTCACCAAGTGTGGTAAGATCCCCACTATGACAGACTGTGCCTAGTTTGCTTTGTTATTTGGTCAATTTTGGTGTGATACACTTTGAGAGTATACTATTATGAAAAGCTTTCAAATTTGGTATTGTCATATATTTCTATTTGATTGCCTTTGTTTTTTATCTTTGGAATTTTATCTTGCATCCACTCTACTTGGGATTACAGAACTATGCAATTTTCTTCTTCTTTGGGCCAGTCCTCACACCTGCCTCACATTTATCTCCTATAACTATAACATGGTTTTTTAAAAATTTTACTTTTACCCAACAGGCTTTACCTTTTATTTGCAGTTTGCTGATTAGCTTTGGTTTTTCTTTGTTGTCTTCCCTTGCTTTTCCATTTCCTTCCTGCAGAGGGAGAAACCTGTCAGCCTCACACTCCTTCTCAAAATAATGTTTTTCTTTTATGCTGCTTTCAAGATCTTTCCTTGAACTGTTTTTTTAGAAGATGTGTTACAGTGTGATACAGTAAGGTTTGTCTTATATTAAACTGACTGCTTGATAAAATGACTTAAATCTCTTTGTTGATCATTTCAGAAATATTGCTTTGCCCAATTGTTTTCTCTTCCTTGTGGAACTCCAATGACACATTTTCTGTTTGTATCCCCTTCCTTTTTACCTTCTGTTCAGTTTAGATGTTTTCTAGTGATCTATATTCCAAATGAAATTTATATATATTGAGGTCTTCATTTCAGATTTTTTCCAATTCTTGAATTTCTATTCAATTCTTTACTATAGGTTCACACTTTTTGCCAAAAGTATTGATCATTTCATTTGTTTTCTTAAACATATTAATGATAATAAACTGTCAGAATCCCTGATGTTTTGATGGCGGTGACATCTGGATATCATGTTCCTTTCCTGTTGTCAGTCCTTTGGTTTGGGGTCACTGGGTGCAGTTTCTGGACATTTCAGGAGATGAATGATTGACTTCCAGACCTTGTGCACAGGGAATCCTGGCTGAGTGTGCACTCTTTCTCCTTTCATGGAGGACCTGGCTTCCTTCTCATGGTCAGAGTCCACCTCGACCCCATTTGCCACTGGAATGATCCAAGCCCGCATTCCAGGCTGGGAGGTTCCCGGCACTTATGTCTTCTTCCACACCAGAGAATGTGTGTTCATTAGTGGATCACTCTGGAAATACAGCCCCCAGCTCCATCCTTCTCTCCCCAGAACTGTGACAATTCCAACAGTTCTGCTTACCTTTGCACACTACTGTCAGCAACTTTGGGGCTTGGTTTCTCTGCTTCTAATGCCAGAAAAATTAGGATGGGACAGACACATCAAGGACCAAAGTGAATGAGACACCAGGCTCCCCAACCC